AACTGGTCTCCTAGCTCCTGCCCTCACCCTCCACACCCGGTTATCATCCTGCAGCCAAAGAGTTTAAATGCTTAACTAGGCTATGCTGTTTCTCTCCTCCTCGCTCTCCGATGACTGCCATCTAGCTCTGGGTAACGAAGTTCTCAGTAGAAGCCGCAAGGCCCCACAGGGTCCTCCCCCTATTCCTGTCTGTTTCCATCTCCTACCACCACTCTTCCCTCCCAGAGCTAGGACTAGCATGAAGCTCTCAGAAAGCGCCTGGGGTGCAAAACTGAACAAGGACCCCACTCTCAGGGTCTTGAAACACTATTGACAACTTCTTAACATCCCTCTTCTTAAAACTCTTCTTTCCTTGCTTATGTTGCCCAGTTTTCCTTCGATTTCTTCAACTTTCTCCTTAATTCCACCCCACTCCCATCAAAGCAGCATGGTATAGTCATGGGATGGTCAGGTTTTTGCTGTGCAAATATGGAGTTAGAGTGCTTGAGTTCAGTTTCTAGAGCCATGTGACAATAGACAGTTACACTTTCTAAGCCTCAGTTTCCTCATTCGGAAAATTTAAATAATAATGTCTACCCTGCAGTGTTGTTGTCTGATTAAGTAAGCCATGTAGACATTTAGCATGATGCCTGGCATAAAGCAAGTGCTCAATAAATATTCATTATTATAATAATAACAATTGATATTATTACTTCTGTTTGCATCCCCTTAACCCCCCTGTCCTCTCTGGTAAACCAACTGAGTTTTTCCAGAACTGCTGCAAAATAATTCCTGATACAAATCAAGCGATTTTGTTTCTAAAGGCAAAGAAGAGAATGACATAGTTCACATTTCCTTTCTTGCAGGAAAAATGTTACGGGTCATACTTTTGCTAAGAAGCTTGAAAAACGAAGTTAATTAAAACATTCCTAGAAAGAAAGAGGAAGAGAACATTACAAAAATTCCCTTATCAAATCACATGTTGAAGTTATACAATGCCAGTGACATACAAGATGGAAGAGAAATTATAATCACATGTGTGGGGACCAGCAGGGATTTTTACGTGATATACCAGTGGGCTGAATCTTGGCATATGAATGGTATATACATACATAGGTGAAGTGTTTGATGACTTTAAGTTACATTTTTCTAAAACTCCAGGCTACTGGGAGAGAATTTGTTTAGCTAACAATGATTTTTGTAAGTCATCCTACGAGATGCAGCATTAGGATTTATACTGTTGGAGCACTAGCTATGGGCTCAGCAAGGAACTAGATGTGTTCCTTTTGCCTGGCATAGTCTGTCTTCAGATTCTCTCTCTCTCTTTTTTTTTTTTTTTTTTTTTTTTAACGGTACGCGGGCCTCTCACTGTTGTGGCCTCTCCCGTTGCGGAGCACAGGCTCCGGACGCGTAGGCTCAGCGGCCATGGCTCATGGGCCCAGCCGCTCCGCAGCATGTGGGATCTTCCTGGACCGGGGCACGAACCCGTGTCCCCTGCATCGGCAGGCAGACTCTCAACCACTGCGCCACCAGGGAAGCCCCAGATTCTCTCCTGACTGTCTCCTTCTTGCCACTTAGGCGCCAGCGCCTTAATCTCCAAGAGTCAGAACCCCTCACAGTCCTTCTCCATCTCATTATCCTGTTGTATTTTTGACTGACAACCAGCAGTCAGAGAAGGGAGTGTGGTCATCTTTCTGCTTCCTTTCTACTCCCCATATTTCTAAACTTGCTTTCTGACTCCTCAAGTGTTGAAGTTCAAGGCAGGACTTAGTAAATGTTCAATGTTTTCTCTTTCTCTTCTGGACACTTCCCTGGATTCTTTGGAGATACTGCATGTGGTCTTGTAACCTGGAGTTCCCTTAACATAAATGAATGTATTTCTATTGTGGCAGTGTATGGGAACCCTCAGCCTGGCCTCATTGCGTAGCTACAACAACGAAAAAATTCCCAAGCCAGTCTCCTTTTCCTGCTCTCTCAACACATTTTCAGACAAGCTTTGGAAGCCTGCCTTGCTGCCCTCAGATAGCCTCATTATATAAGTAATGAACCTTTTCGTACCCCTTTGGTGTGGTGTCATTGGTCTTGACATTGGAACCAAATTTTGGGTAAGGGAGTCCCTCTTGCAAGGGACCACAAAAACTGGTGCAGCAAGCTGGGTGACCACATTATTTATTTTGCTTGATATTAGTATAGCCATTCTTATGGCTCTCTTATGGTTTCTGTTTGCATAGTATATCTTTTTCCATCCTTTTACTTTCAATTTATTTGTTTCTTTCGATATAAAGTTTGTCTCCTATAAGTAGCAGAAAGTTGGATCTTGTTTTTGTTCTTTAAATCCAATCTGATAATCTCTTCCTTTTGATTAGATTGTTTAGTTCATTCACATTTAACGTTATCATTGATAGAGTTGGACTTACATCTGACATTCTGATTTTTTGGTTCTCTGTGTCTCGTGTCTTTTTTCTTGTTGTTTTCCTTATTTTCTGTCATTGCAAGATGCTCTGGGTTCATCTTGTATATTTCTTGCCCCTGTCCTAGAATCAGTCATTTCTCTTAGAAAATCCTGTTTCTCTAATAAAGAGAATGGTATTAGAAACCAAAATCTGGGTGCTAGGTGTGCCCGTTAGTACTGTTTTGCATGTCTCACAATTTTTTTGAAACTGGACAATTTGGTAGTATAACAACTCTAGATACTGATTCCCTCCCTTACTCCCCAGGAGTGGTGGTGGTGGTTGTTGGCTTTGTCAGTTGTTTATTTATTTAGTGACTTGGCGGAACTAATCCTGTGACATCTATTTCCCCCCTAGTGTGCAGCCCCTGTTACCAATGCTTACATTTTTTCCCCCTTGTTTTTGTCTTTTAGCCTGGCTACCTAAGGATCATCCCTGGGTCTGTGTTGGCATAAGCCACTTATTGGTCAAAGGTTGTACTTAGCCAGTTAGATTTTTGCTCTCTCTATTTTTTTTATTGCAGTGTAATTGCTTTACAATGGTGTGTTAGTTTCTCCTGTACAGTGCAGTGAATCAGCTGTATGTATACATATATCCCCTCCCTCTTGGACCTCCCTCCACCCCAAGCCCACCCATCTAGGTCATCACAGAGCACCGAGCTGAGCTCCCTGTGCTATCCAGCAGGTTCCCACTAGCTATCGATTTTATACATGGTAGTGTATTTATGTCAAACCTAATCTCCCAGTTCATCCCACCCTCCCCTTCCCCACTGTGTCCACATGTCTGTTCTCTACAATCTGCGTTTCTATTCCTGCCCTGCAGATACGTTCATCTGTACCATTTTGTGTGTATGGCCTCGAGGTTGCTATTACAGTTCAGGGAATTTGTGTTTACTGCCCCATGTTCGGCCAAGGGCTTGTAGCTTGGAGGTTCTTTCTCTGATTGTTCCCAAGAGGGCTCAGCCTTGGGCATGCCCATAATCTGCCAGGTCGTCAGGGGTGAGTGTAATTTTAGTTTTAAACCTAGGAGTCACCCTGGATCAGAATACCTATTGTTCACGGTTTGGTCAAGGGTGGTGTTTAAGCCCCTTGTGCCAGCAAGGCTTCCATCCTGGGATGACTGATCCCAGGAGGGCTTCTCCTGGCTGCTCTTTTCCCAGTTCTCTCTGTTAAGCTTCTGGCTGCAGTGCTGTTTTGCTTGTCTCCTGGAGCTATCATTCTCCTCTTAATTACTGTCTACCAAGATCTCCAGTGTTTTCAAAAACACCCTTACGTATGGAACTCTCTACTCTCCGTTCCAAACAGTCAGCCCCCTCAGGCAGAGCTTCAGAACTCTTCATCCTTTGGGTCTGCCTCACCCCCTGGGTAGAACCCCCATGCCACCGCACCAGAGCTATACTCCAGTTCTATAAGAGGGCACTGCTTGGGGGGCCAGTGCCAGCCCCTGGCCTTCTCAGCTTGCCCTTCCCCAAAGGGAACCTCTATGATGGAGCTGGGCAAGGGTGATCAGGGCCCCTGTACTTTTAGTGGGCTACAACTGGTGCAGGACTTGGGAAGGGAGCTGCATCCCCGAGATCATTCCTCCTAGGAACAGAGCTTCTGTAACACTAGGTTGGGGTGGGGTGGGGGAATGAGAAATATTACTGGCAACATGCCACTCTTGGGGTGAAATCATAGCTCAGACTGTGCGCTTCCGGGAGGGGAGGGCTCTATCTTCCTGGCTGCATATGCCCAGGGTGTGGGAGTTAAAGGAGCAGGTCGTGGCTGACATGCCATGGGTGCTTGTTGTTCTTATGAAATTTAGTAAATTGTCTTGAATGAATAGTCCTCCTTTTGCTCTATGCCCTTAAGATAATTTCCAGGGACTTTTAAGTGATTTTACTTTAATTTTTGTAATTTTCTCCGGTTAAATTGTTGTTATGCTGAGGAGAGTCCACTGGAAGTCCCATCCACCCAACTTTTATATTCTTTTACACCAACAATTATGTTCCCTACCATGAATACGAGAGACAGTCTTCCACTATGTTGATGTTGCTGCTGCCACGGATTGCTTGGTGGGGAGGTGGGGTTTGAGAATCAGTGAGAATGTGACAACTATAGGAGAGCTAAGGAAAGAACTGTCCCTGCCATCAGTGAGGAAGGAAACAGGTTTTATTTTTTATCAGTGGCTTCTGATTGTAATTCAGGTTGATGATCACCATCCTGGCCCTCTTACTGCATTCATTTCAGCCTTCTGGGGGTCCTGATATAGCCATCTGATGCTTCCTCAGGCATCTGAACTAATGTCAGCATCAAGTCGCATCTGTTCACTGTGAGGAGAGAAAATGCGCATTCATTGCAGCAGGAGGAATTTGGGGTAAATGTGAGGAGATAGTCCCTGATCAAAAGCATTAGCCTGAGAGGTCTTTTTCAAGTGTAAATCAGATCATGCCACTCTCCTGCTTCAAGCTCTCCAATGGCTGCCCAATGAAATTAGAATAAAGCCCAATCTCTTAACCAAAACCTACATTTCATTTCACTCTCTGTCATTCACCATGCTTCAGTAACTCGGGCTTTCTTTCTGTCCTTCAAGTCCACCAGGCTTGCTCCTGCCCTAGGACCGCTGCGTTCACTGGTTCCTCTGCCTGGAATGCCCTTGCTCAGATCTCCACATGGGTAACTGTGATCAACCATCTTAATGCCAAGGTCACCTTCTCAGGAGGACTTTCTGGCCCACGATATCTAAGGTAGGTTCCCCTTACTCCCACTCTTCATTGTTCGCTCTTCATTATTAACTTGCTGCCACTCTCCCACTAGAGTGTAACTTCCAGGCGGCAAGGATCTTGATGAATCTTGATTACGCTGTCTGCTCTCTTCTAAGTACTAGAAGTGCTTGCCATCCAGTGGGAATTTAATAAATCCAAAGAATAAATGGAAGAATGAAAACATGGATGGAATGAATATCCATAGTTTTCTTTATAGGTTTTAAAGAAATGAATAAAATACTCTCTTGATGAGGTGTCTCAGAAGAGGGGCCTAGATAAGATTCAGTGGTGAGGTCTTGTAATGTGGGGATTCACTTTACTAGTAGAAGAGTGCTTTATAGAAAGTGGCAGACTGAAGTGTTTTCCAGGGAAATAAATCCTCCGAACAAACAGGAACAATTCAACATATATTCAATTATTCAGTTGTTCAGAACCTGGTTTTTAGTTCCACTTTGGCCCCTGACTGAAATAATTTCATGTGCACTTGTGCCCTGTTTTGTTACAACACCCAAGGGCAGGCGCAGTAAGAGTGATAGTACCACTCTTGACATCATATACTTGCGATTGCAAATATCTTTGAATATTATGACTCATGGAAGACACAGAAACCCCAAATAATGCTGCCTTTGCCGATTTAAACAAAGCCTGGCTCCTTTCTATTTCATCAATCAAATGAATGTCCCTTTCCTTACCCCAGTGATTAAACCAACTATTTTGTTCCAAGATGTATTTTCTTTATCAATTACTGTGCTGAGAAATTCTTTCATCTTGGATTTAGAAACTAATCTTCTTATGAGAACTGCAGAAAAATGACCCTGGTTTTAACAAGTCTAGGACTTTGAAATCTGCATTACGGAAGGGTATGGAAACATGATATTTGATCAGGGGAGGTAAGGGAGAATTGTATAGGCTCTGACTAATAAATAATGAACCAGATACATCTATACATGAACTATTGTGTACCTGATCTGTTTGCTCTTTAAACTCTTAGCAAAGATTACACATAAAGAATAATTATTACATATTTCCTTTGAAATGGTGACCAAGAGTACTGAGAAATTACACAGTGCACCGAACAGGGCATAGTGGCCAGATTTTAAGTGGCCTCCCCCCACAGATCCCCAATTCCCGAAGTAGAAATGTGAATTCTCAAGTGCCCAAATTGTTAATGACTTCAGAAGTTCACACAAGAAAACCAATATTTCAAAAATTCTTTTATCATGATAATTTTCAAACATACAAAATTATTGAAAGAATAGTACAATTATTTACCCATATACCAACCACCTAGATTCCACAATTGTTAGTATTTTACTAATCATTTGGATGTAATACTTTATATTTCAATACTTCAGTATTCACCTCCTAAAAAGAAGAACACCCTTTGGTATAGTCACATTTAGGACCATTAACAGGAATTCTCTAATATCATCTAATAGTTAAATTCAAATTTCCCCAATAGTCCCTGAAATATCTTTTATGTATGTTATTTTTCAAATGAGGATTCATTCAAAGTCATGCGTCGCATTTGGTGTTTCTGGTCTCTTTTAATCTGGAACTGATTCCACCCCTATTTTTTTTTTTTTTCCATGACGTCAGTTTTTGAGAGACTAGGCCAGTTATCTTGCACAGCTTCCCACATTTTGAATTTTTCTTATTGTTCTATTGTGGTGTTATTTAACTTTTTTCCCTCTATCTCCTATACTTCTTGTAAATTGGAAGTTAGGTCAAAGGCTTAGTTCAATTCAGGTTAAACATCTATGTCAAGGGTTCTTCAAAAGTGATCCATACTGCATCACAGCAGGAGGCATGTAAGGTTAGAATATTCTACTACTAATGATGCTAACTTTTAAAGTTCTTTAACTTCAGTGTTTCTATAAGAAAACAGTTTATATTTTGGACAGTAGAGAGCTCCTTTGTGCTAAAATTAAGGTGATTTGCAGCTTACAAAACAGATACAAGCAACAGTTTGCAGGGATAGTCTAAAATGATGACTCATTATCCATTATTCCATCAGTGATGGGGGAGATACAACTGGATGTCAAAGGGACTTGAGAAATAGCTGAAGTCAGGCTACCTCTCCCAAGGAAGATGAGCAAATTCCCATGTGGCCTGGATCCCGGCAATAACTTCAGGGAAGTGGACTTGGGTACCTGGGTGACACCAGGTAAAGGGCTTAGGAGGTTGGTGTCGCTCTTCCCCTAAATTTTAGGAAAATTTCCAGGGAAATAATTGAACAGCCCAAGTGGAATTTCTGGCCCTATTACTTGTACTGCTGTTATTTCAAGTGCAACGACTTTATCCATTTGATTTAAAAAACTGGTTCCTGCTTTAAAAAGCTTTGGGGCACCAGAACAGTAAAATTGTCCAATAAAATGCTGTTGAATCAATTGACAGCACCACATTTAGAAACACAGTGTATCACAGAGCAACATAAATGCCACGACCAGTGTGAGATTCCCTGTGGCTACACAGATTTTTAAAGACAGGCTTTACACTGGATTACACATGTGTAAACCTGGGTCTGGTTGAACCAATGAAGGCAGACGGCATGATAGAAAAGCATGTCCTTCCCCTGATTTAGATGCACAAGGTGGGGAGCTAATAGCACCCTCAAATTACTATCAAAGCTAAACTTTATCTCTTGTTTACTGGGCCCTGGGCTAAGAGACTCACATTTTGTGCCTCATTTAATTGTCACAACAAATGTATAAAGTCACTTGTTTAATGAATGAGATATGTGTGTGCGTGCGCATGTGCATGCATCCTACTACGTGCAAGGAATTTCACTTTACTGGGCTCTGGAACAAAATCCAAATCCAAAACACACAGGGCTCCTCAATCCAGGCTGACCTCAATTCGGGCTGACCCTAAATAGTAAGGGTCTTGGATTTGTAGATAAAACCTGATGAGGGGCTACATGTCAACAAGTTATGTAACTGCTAATGCAGGCATTTCAGGTTAGTAAATCTTTCCGTTCTGACCATTACATGGACTGTGTGCTAACAGGCATTTTGGAGGTCTGTTAAAACTGATCACAGTGTAGGCAACATACTAGCATAAGAATGGGCTCAAGGAAGCTGATGTTGTAAGAAAGGAGTGATGGAGAGAGAATCAAGAGGCAAGAGGTTTACATGAAAAGTATCTCCCATATGGATTGATCATATTTGCTGTGTTTTCTTTCAGTAATAGAAACTAAACATAATAAGAAAAAAAGCCCACTTTAACAGAACACATTTATGTTTCTATTTTGGGCAGAAGGATTTTTATGAGGAGATGTAGTAGCTTATTTCAGAGAGGGGTGTTTCAACAGTAACAGGGCAAACAGGAGAGACTTGTTTTCATTTGCACAGTTTGGTTGAAAGCTTATCAAACTTATACAAGTGCAGAGACTATGGGGTGAAAACACACTTGAATTTTTTTTTTCTTTTTCTTGCGGTACGCGGGCCTCTCACTGTTGTGGCCTCTCCCGTTGAGGAGCACAGGCTCTGAACGCGCAGGCTCAGCGGTCATGGCTCACGGGCTCAGCCGCTCTGCGGCATGTGGGATCTTCCCGGACCGGGGCACGAACCCGTGTCCCCTGCATCGGCAGGTGGACTCTCAACCACTGCGCCACCAGGGAAGCCCTGAATTTTTTTTTAAAAGACCGAGAAAACAACAGCATCTGTCATTGTTTGGGACTTTATAGTGTTCAAATCCCTTTCAGATACTATATCAGAAATACCTTACGTGTATCTTTTCATCCTCATTGGATTCTCTCACCCTCACTCACCCCATGGCCTGGACTCTCAGCTCCATGTTCTAAACAGCTGCCCCTCCTGAAGCTGTGGGGCTGTAGGATTTCACCACTGTGGACAACTTGCCACAGGCTTGGGGACTCTGGATCTTCCAGACACTTTCAGACTTGGATGAAATTTCGCACTAAAGGACATAGGAGTAGGCTTCCTGGGTGATTTCAAGGGGTGGAGGGATGGGGCAATCTGGAAGTATTGGACAGTAAATTCTTCAGTGGGCAAATATTCGTCAGTGTTTCATCTTTCCTTGATGGGTTGCTTTGAGGTATAGTTTCTGCATAGATATCTTGCATGGTCCTGTGAATATGCCTGTCAAATGACTGCTTGTGACCCTTTGTGGCTTCACATGAAGCACTGGTCAATGTGGTAACTCATCATCTTTTCATTCCTTCCCATTCTTCTTGTCTCGTTTCCTTTTGCCTTCACTCTGGATGCCCTGGGATTGTACCTTCCAGATAAAGCACCAGTACTTAATCCCTGCCTCAGGCTCTGTATTTTAGGAAACTGGGTCTCATACACATATTTGTTTCCAACTCCTTCCAATACTTTGAAGTACACAAGAATGTTAGTGTTAGTCATACTTTAAAGGTGAGAAACCGAGGCTCAGAAAGTTTAAGTGATTAGTCTGAGATTACATTCATTTATTTGTTCATTAATTCACTCATTTATTTAACAGACATTTCCCAAGCACCTTCTGTGTGCTGATGGAGTCTGAGACAGACAAGATCTCTGCCTTCACGGAACTTAAATTGTAAGTTAGAGGAGACAGATGGCACGTAAGTACCATCAGTATCTGCTGAATGAATGAATTAATGAATGGATGCAAGAGTCTTATCTTTCCCAGGTTGACTACTTAGATTTTAAAAAAACATATCAAATTTCAAATTATTTCCTCCAAAAAACCTTTCTTGGGGTGCTGTTGTTTTATTGTTGTCCTGTACTTCTGCTTAATCTGCCCATCGAGTAATCCAGTATCTGTTGACTACCAAATGATTAGTAGGCTCCAGGTACGTTTAGGACAATATGGGCAAGAGGGGACAACAGGTACAAAGACGACAAAGTATAAACAAAGCCTGGGTGACTTCAGAAACAGAAAAGAGGCTGGTGTGTCTCGGAAGTAAAGGGTGAGAGGGAGAGAGGTGTGGGATGAGGTCAGAGAGATGAGCAATAACCAGAGCATACAGAGTTCTGAAGAAGGCTTATGATTTATAAGGACAGTGGGAAACCACAGGAAGGTTTTAAGTGATATGATTAACATGATTGCTAAGTGGTAATTCTCAGGCCTTCTGACTCCTGGACCTAAGGACTTCTTCTACACGAAGCAGGTGTCAGAGTTGGGACTAGAAGCTAAGCTCCGAGGCTCCCAATTTCTGATAGAGTGGAGCCAGCTTCATAGTGGTAGCTCAGATAGGAGGCCCTCCAATAATGCAGCAACATGACTCCAGTGGCACCCCTTCCCCTACAATAGATGAAAAGACAGACTCATGGAGTCACTTCCAGCCAAACAGGACTTTACCGTTCCATCTATAGATTGGGAATGATATAACCTTTTATTCAATAGTGAGGTGGAGGGGCAGAGACCTTCAGGTCCTTGGGAGCAGGGAGCATGTGACCTTGGGCTGCTGAGAATCAGCTGTGGTTCAAATCAGTCTGAGTAATCCAGGCATCAGATCAGCAGTGCCTGTCCTATTCATTTAATAGGTGAAAATTATGATATTGCCTTGTCTGGTGTAAGAGAACTGGGTGGTTATGTTCAGTGACAAGAGAGGTGTCAGCATGGGCTTCACATTGTTTTGAACATCATCCAGAAAAGTCACAGGCAAGATGGGTAAGTGCAGCCTGATTAGTAAAGTTTTGTTTTGTTTTTGTTAGTTTTGTGTGAAAGGATGTTGGGTTTTCCTACACGGGGTGCCTTTGCAAGGGATTCTGTGATCCTCAATAAATGGGTATGGGAATGAAAATGTAGGGGTCACTGTCCTGAAGAGGATTCAGGACTTATCCATAGGTTTGAAGTTTGGCTCTCCCTTTGCCTCCCAACTTCCATTTTCTTAAGAGAGAACTCCAGCCTGGGGACACAGCTCCCCTTTTCCCTGGGATGCTTCCCTCCAGGAATTGTGGATCAGGCAGTCAGTCCTCAAGCCTTCAGTAACTCACGAACCTTGGGCCTTTGCACCACAAGTCCCCTGTGTGGACACCCCTTAATCCCCAGCCTATTCTCTCTTCTGGCTCTGCAGCTCTCAATTCAATAGTTTGCCTTGAGGCCAGCAGAGACTGTTCCTATTCAGCTGACCACTAATTGATATTTTGACGTTATTAATGTGTATTCATCTACTCCCTTTCTTCTCCCAAAAGGAGCGAGGGAGACAAACATTTCAGAATAGAGATGAGGGGACTGGTGGGGTGATCATGTAGGTTTGGGGGAAAGGGGAGAGGAAATTGAAAACATGGTGAGCTTGATGGAGCCAAGGAGGTAGAGCAGATGCCAAGGAAAGCTGGTAAACAACAGTGTTTGTGCATCGCAGAATCACACCTGCTCCGAGTCCACTGTCTCACCAGCCTGCCCCCGTCAGCCCGGCGCGTCTTAGCAATTCCCCAGCTGTCAGCTCCCTACCTGCCCGGCTCTGGCTGCTCGGCTCAGAGCTGCTCCCCTGGGCCTCTCTCTGGCTTGTCAGTGGGCTGCGTCAGCATCACGCCACACTGTCTCCCGTTGGCCCGGTGATCAACGCCTGACGGGCCGGCCCTCTCTCCCCTCTCAGCTAGGGCCAATGGGAGTCAGGGGAAGGTTTTGGTTACAAATGAAAATAAAATAAGTAAGTCATACTCCTGCACTCCAGAGTCTGGGAGAAACATCTTCATGGCCTCGTAAATCTTTCTTTTTAAATTTGTCCTTCTCCTTCCAGATGCCCCTCCCAATCCCCTGCGCACACTTGGCGGCCCCTCACGGTGCAGGGAATGCGAAATGAGAGGCTTGGGCTTAGGCTAGATGTCAGTAACCCCCTCCCCCGCGAACCCCCAAAGGCATTTGTGCTGTGCGTGTGTGTGTGAAGAGAGGAACCAGCCAGCCAGGATCCAGGCCAGTGACAGCTTGTCCCCTCCTCTTCTGACCTTTGCAACAAGACACCCAGCCCCCTCCCAAATCCCCCCTCACCTGGCTAAATTACCCCCAAAGCTTGTGGTTTCTTTATTTCTTTCCATTACAGGGGGCTCTGATAATTAAATGCAATACTCTATTTTAAGATGCCTAGGAGTTTTTCTAACTAGATATTAGACATTTTATTAAAGCTCGTTGACTTTGAATGTTTTGCTTAAGACTTCGTCGTCTATTTAAAGACACATCTTAAGACAGGGGATGCTATTAATCTCATACACCTGAATGTGAATAACAGTGCCCAAAAGTTGGGCCTCAGAGCGTCAGGAGAAAGAGCTAGAGGTCCTGAAGTCACCAGGTGGAGATGTGTGTGAGACACCAAGGGGCGTAAGCTGGAAAAAGCCGTAGACCCCTTTGTGGTTTGCCGAGGGGTGCCCAGGTCACGTCATAAGGAGGATTAGTTGGGGTGGTGGTAGGAGGGAAGCATGGTCACAGGGGCCAAAGGATTAGAAGGGAAGGAAAGCAAGAGGGTGGCTGCTTGGGCAACCAATACTCAGGGCAGGGGAGCCTTTCTCGCCCTCCCAGCCCCGCAAAGGATCAGCTTTGTCTTAAAAAGTCTTTTTAGGGCTTCCCTGGTGGCGCAGTGGTTAAAAAGTCTTTTTAGGGCTTCCCTGGTGGCGCAGTGGTTGAGAGTCCTCCTGCCGATGCAGGGGACACGGGTTCGTGCCCCGGTCCGGGAGGATCCCACATGCCGCGGAGCGGCTAGGCCCCGTGAGCCATGGCCGCTGAGCCTGCGCGTCCGGAGCCTGTGCTCCGCAACGGGAGAGGCCACAACAGTGAGAGGCCCGCGTACCGCAGGGAAAAAAAAAAAAAAAAAAAAGTCTTTTTACTTTAGACTAGGGTGGACAGTCCTCCTTGACCACTGCTATCCCACACTCCTTCCCCTCTCTTACTTCAGTGCATTATCCATGAAGGGAGAGGAGGTGTGCCATCCATTAACTGTGGCCAGAGGGTTCATCTTGCCAGTGTCCTGAGCTGCTGAGGGGTCGAGGAGAGATTTGTACCCGATGTGTTATCTTACGGGCTTAAGGAGGAGGAAGAGACTGGGAAAGGGTTATAGGTTTAAGGAAAGGTTGCCCAGCTTCTGCCAAATGGGAACAATGGAGGCACCACAGGGCAATGGGGCTGCCCTCTGAGGGATGCCAGGATGGGGCCATGGCAGTTCGGGAGGGTAGACAGGCAAGCTGTCCGCTTTCACATTGTTATCCGGGAAGACTTCAGTGTTCAGAGCCATGTACATTTCTATCTCTCTGAACTTTTTCTATCTGCTTCCCCTGCATGGTTGCCATGCTGAGGTGAGGTTTTTATAAACTGTACTTTTGGTGGGTAGAGTAGCTTCCACACTGGCTTGGGGCCAAGACGAAAAGGTGCCATCACAGAGACTCTGGGTGCCATGTAGAGGTACATTTGCCACAAAGCTGGTGAAGTTTAAGGTTTAGAGTCCCTCATTTGCATGAGCTCTGTCCATGGCGCTGAGGTTGGCCTGGGAATATTTACACCAGGGTACAGTCTGCCCTTGGGAGGACGGACAGAGGAAGAGGCCTAGGTCGGCCCTGTCTGAACAAGAAATTCCAGGATGCCATATATATGTAGCAAGATCAGGAAGCGGGAGGCATGGGCTTTGAGTATACGTATGCATGTTTCTTTGACCCCATAGACGCCTTGCCATGTGTAGAGGGACAGAAAGAGTGGAGGAGCAGAGTGTAGCCTGTAAAGTATGGATTCCCTCTAGCCTGGGTTAAGGGTGTTTCTGCTAGTATCCCAATAAGGTGCCTAAGACTGGGAGTACATGTGTATACAGAGAGTAAAAATATTTCAGATGTGCAGGGCCAGAAGCTAGTCTGTGGAAAGTTCTTCCAAATCTTAAATCTCATATGTCTGAAAGACACGATGAAGATTTCCCCAGATTTGACAACCATCCTAACAGTTTCCATGACAATACCAGTAATCACTTCTGGGACTGAAGAAGCTTTTCTAAAGTATCAATAACAAAAGGCAAATTTTGACCAACCATGCTAGAAGAAAGACTGAATTACCTTTCTATTTCCTCTAGAGGATAAGATATGACAAAATCACTGTCATGTGAAGAAGTCATCAAAGAGCAAGCAGCCAAAAATATAGAGGAAAAATTATTATAGAGCCACGTCAGGAAGTTAATTAATAAAAATATTACTTTTTTTTCTATTCGTGATGTACGTGATATTTATCCACTAATTTTGTGTTTTGTGTTTTGTTTCTTCATTCTAAGTAAATAGGTTTTTTTGGTGCCTAGTTTTGAACTCGTAGCTTAGCACTGTTTTTCTTTCAGAGGGGCTTCTAAGTTTTATAAACTTCAGCCCGCATGAAACCTGTACCAGCCGCTGCCACCCTATTTTTTTCTGGGTAACAGTATTTAATGTCCTTCATGACTGTAGCTGAGAATGAAGGAAATTATTGTAACCACTTCATGTCCTCAGTAGATTGGGGCTTATAGGCTAAGCCCAAATTTCATAATGTTTGTGATGTTATAATGTTTATAACGTTTGGGATGTTTACCAAACTTGCAGTTTCATATGATCTTCAGTAAGCTACTGAACGTTTTGGATTTTGGATTCTTCACCTGT